TGAACACATGTCATTCAAATGCATTGTTGTGTAACCTAGCAAGTCCTAATGGACTTCAGAGGAAGGGAAGAGAAGTGGTACCCCCAACAAAGAAGAGTAATGAGAATTTCAGAAAGGCAGAGGGAGACCAGGAGTGAGGGTTGAAGAAGAGTGGACATGGGGAGTCACAAAGACTGGCAGGGAACTAGTTTTCACTCCAGAGAGTTTATGATACTGTGATGCAGTCCCATTCTGGGGCCAGATACTGACTTGTTGAGAAGAATTTGGCGTGCTTCCATGCAGTGTTTCTGGATCACATCCTGATATTCATGAGGCTGCAGAGGCAGTTTTCCTGCCAGTAATTCTGCTGTTCGAACAAACCTGAGGTCTCTAAATCTGCCAAAAGAGAGGGAGAAACATCCTGGGCTGAGAAGACACTTAAAAATGAATTCCGTAGGTTAAATTCAAAGGGCATATATCTTTATTTTTTTTCAAGGAGAGTAAAACTAATTATAACTGAGAAATCTGAGAGTCTGAGGAGGGAGGAGAAAGTCCAGAGGAACCTTGCAAACGGTAGAGAGATAAGCCAGCTCAGCTGGTGTTTGCTGAGCCTTCCTGTGTGTTCTGCTCTGGGTAACCCATCTGGGGAGTGGGGTTTTGGAACCAACCTGGAATTTGCCTGGCTGGGAACTGGAATATCAAATGGACTAATCAACGTTCTTTAACAGTGAGGACAGAGAAGATAGGTCAAGAGAAGCAACACCTTCATGATCAAGGGGGTTCCTCTAATCTTCAGTGTGGTCCCAGGTGAGCTACTCAAGCAACTTGGAGGACTGCTTAGGTCTAAACAAGCACAAAACCCCCTATAGACCTACCCTCGATTGGCAGGCCCACCAAGACACACACATTATCCCTTGGCACAGCGCCTTACACAATGCAGGCACACAATAGGTATCTGCAGAATGAACACATGAAACTCCCTGCACCTTCTCTTATGAGGCTCTTCTCCTATTTCTTTCAGATCAATGGATGTGTTGTCCTTTACCATATTCCCAGAGGTGTCTTTCAGCTCAGAGGGCCACATACCTCTTCCTAACCTCTACTGCATCCATTTATAAATCGGTCTTTTAAATCATCACTGTCTTTCACTTCCCCAGTTAGATCTTTGTTCACTCCCTAGGCTCATCTCATTTCTTGCTTCTCATTTTCATCATCCACTGGAATGACCTCTTGGGCACTTTTCCTCATCCTTTCTAAATCCCACAGCCTATATTTCTATTTCTTCTTGGTGGAGGTGGTGAACTTGGTCCCCATCTTGTCTGGCCAGCCACAAAGCATTGTTAGGGAAGGAAGGAGAGAACTTGAGAGCTCCCTCACCACACATTTGATATCCAAACCAAGTATGGCCCTTGTTACCACGTGGTAATTATGTTACTTATGTTGAATTCAATCCTTAACAAACGTCCTACAGTGGCTCTTCAGACCACAACTCTCATTCTGGCCCCCAAGCCCCTTACCTTTCACTGGTCACTAGGTGACTTCTTAGAATTTTTTAAATTAAATCATGCAGGTCACAGAGAAAAGCTGTCTGTTTCATTTCCTTAACAAATCTTTCTCGTTGTTTTTTTGTTGTTGTTCAACTGACAAAAATCTAAATGGTTTTGGTTCACTTTCGCTTTTGTTGCCTATATAATCTTTAGGGAACTCCTAAAAGCAAGTGGTAAGGATCCTTTCTTCTCAGAAGCTATAGATTCAATAATTTGCCATCTTTACTACATGATAAAATTAAATGCATCTGTACATCTCCTTGGCAGTGAGTATCTGGCAAATTTTACCATCCCTGAGACTCAACTTTTTTTTGTTAATTTCCAGGTTATTTTTTGAGGTCATAAACATGCTTATAGTTAAAGCGGTACCTTCATTTATTGAACAACTACTATATGCCAAAACTGTTCTAAGCAACTCATCAAACAAAACCCATGAGGTGTGTATTATTATTATTCCCATTTTACATATAAATAAACGGTGGCTTAGAGAGATTAGCTTCCCCAAAATCACACCATCTGTTATTGACGAAGCAAGAACCAGAACCTATGCAGTGTAGTTTGGGAGCCCATTCTATAAATTATTACCTTAAACACTTCTGCCTCATTAGAAAGTGAATTTTTTTTTTCAGTGTCCTGACTGACACCTCCAATGACTTAGAAAACTGAATTCAGTCCAAAGAAGGGAATGTGCTTATTTCTTACCATTGGTGGGCTCCATGCCAGCTTGACCTCCCCCTCAATTGTCTTTGGAAATATAGTTACAACTAAGAATGTGATAAACAAGTGAGTTCTCCAAGTAACAGGTCTCCCTTAAGACTAAACATATTCGAAGCTACAGAGACTCCCCAAAATAAAATACCTTGAGTTACCGGTAAGGTCAATCAAAATTAAGTAAGCATATTTGCCTCCAGCTTTTCTAATAAAAACTCAGATGGTGGCAACTCATCATGTCATCAGCCTGACCTTCCAGTGAACTCTGGTGGCCTCATTCTCCCACCAGGATTTACACCTCCCTTAACAGACCCCCTCCCCCTCAAGACAGTCTTTCTCTGCAGTTGATGAATGGATAAACTAAACATGGAATAGCCATGCAGTGGGGTAATATTCAGCTGTAGAATGGAATGAAATACTGATACATCATTCAATGTCAGATGAACCTTGAAAACATGTGCTAAGTAAAAAGCAGCCAGACACGAAAGGCCACATATTGTGTGATTCCATTTATATGAAGTGTCTGGAATAGGTTAAATCTGTAGAGACAGAAAACAGATTAATGTTTGCCAGGGGCTGAGTGGAAGGAAGAAGGGGTGGGAATGGGGGACTGCTAATGGATACTGCATTTCTTTTTGGGATGATGAAAATATTTCTGAAGGACAGAGTGGTCAGAGTTGGGCAAATATGGGAGTGCACTAAAAACAATGGTCCTGTGCACTTCAGAAGGGCAAATTTTATGGTGTGTGGATTATATCTCAATTTAGAAAAAAGTAAAGGAGGGAAAAAAGCGGCTCCTATATTCTCTGAACTCCTTCACTTGTTGTGGCCAAGTTAGTCATTGATGAACACAACCAAGACCCCTGCTTGCCATCCCTGGGCTAGCACTGAGTTACCTAAGGAATAAGACCCAATCCTCCATATGTCTTGGAAGCTAGAGAGAGTCAAACTAGCACACACACAATTTTAATTCAGTGCGATACATGTCCTCATGGAGGTAATGGCTCATTCACACTTAAGGGGTACTTACAGTTTGCTGGGCACTGTTCTAAGTACTTTGAATGTATTAAGTTTTTTATTTATTTTTATTTATTTTAAGTTTTTATTCCTCCTACCAACCCTATGAAGCAGGAACTCTTATTATCCCAAATTTAGGGGTAAGGAAAGCAAGACACAGACAGATGATGTAACACCCCAATGTTACCTAGGAAGCAACCAGGCTAAGATCTGGGCTCAAGCGGGCTGGCTCCAAGACTGAGCTCTTCACCAGTACACGCCAGGGCTTAGCGACTGGGGTGTCACGGGAGCACAAAGCAGGGTCACTTCACTGCGTGGAGAGCTGTCACTTAGAGTTTCCACGCACTTTGGGTCTAGGATGTTTGTCATTTCCCTTCAAGGGGAAAGCTACCCCCTCTGTGCCCAGCATAAGATACTGTCTTTTGTGGCCAAACAATCAAGAAGGGAAAGAAAAGGGAGGGGAGGAATGTCTTACTCTTTAAACCACAGTTCTTTCAGGCTGAGCATCATGGGGTTCACCGTGTGCAGATGCTCCTCGTTCCACTTCTTGGCATTCCTGTACACGTGGTGCCAGGGCACAGGGGCCCGGATCACTCTTTGAGGAAACGTGCGGGGAATGTTCTCGATGAAGAGTCTTTTTCTCTCTGTTGGGTCCATGAGGATGTAATCAACTATAGAACCAACAGAGCAAACACTTTGTTAGTAAGTAGGGACCTTGAACACCCCATGCTCTAAGCTGCAGCTTGGAATGTAAATGAGCCTCTGACCATTTACACTGATAATATCCATGATGTTGATAATCCCTTGGGCATAAACAAATTGGGGAAGTGCCACTCTGTTGGTTTATTTTCTTTCTGAAGATGTTTCAGGGGGAAAGAGGAGTGTAACTTCACAGTCCGAGGCTTAGAAACCAGGGGTTGAGCTCTATTTGGATATCTAGCATCATGTATGACAATGAACTAGTATTTGCTGATGCCTCATTAATCATTAACTGACTTCTCACACCTAAGCAGTCACACAAAAAATTCAACACAACAGATGACATCAGATACTTAGAAATGGAAATTTAGGGGTGCCTTGGGTGGCACAGTCCAGTTAAACATCTGACTCTTGGTTTCAGCTCAGGTCTGACCCCCGGGGTGGTGGGATCAAGCCCTGTGTTGGGCTCTGTGCTCAGCAGGAACTCTGCTCAGGGGGTTTTTCTCTCCTTCTTCCTCTGTCCCTCCCTCCCACACTCACGATCACTCTCTCTCCCCCTCCCTCTCTAAAATGAATAACCTTAAAAAAAAATGGAAACTTCGAGACCAACTATTTCACACACTAAGGAAAGAAAGATGGGAAAAGCTTCACAGAGGGAGTGACATTTGAGCTGGACTGGAAGAATGAGTAGGAATTTGGAGATAGAATAAGAAGGGAAGAGCACAGGGGTCAGAAGAAACAGCATGTAATGAAGTGCAGTTCTAGGACTTCTGTAAAACATGCTCAAGGTGCTGGGAGTTATTTGGGGGCAGAAATATCGGACGAAAGTGGTAGAGTTCAAGGTGACAAGATTGCAGAAGTAGGTTGAAGCTGGAATTTGAAGGACTATCCATGTTTATCCTTATGAGTTTGGTTCTACCCTCGTGTAGACAAGAGGCCATTGCACTGACAGCATTAGGAAGTTAATTAGGAAATTTAAAATAACTAGGCTGCCTGGTATAGACAGCTGCTGTCCAGATAAAATAAGGCGGCGAGGAACTCATATGATTACCACTCGCCTTTAATATGTTTCTCACATTCCTCACCATCATTAAATATTTCCCAGTGACCTCCTGCGTGTACAAGATGCGGCCCGAAGGATGAAGGGGAGCTAGGATCAGTAACATGTCCTTCACCATCAGAGAACTGACAGTCTGATAAGGGAGCCAAGACCCACAAGAAATGAAAAGACAATGCCAGTGTTACATAATAGAAGAGAAATAATGGCCCAGGAGATATTCATAAGCAGGGTGAGTTGAAAGCAGAGACAGGAAGTCTTGTGCATGCAGAGGATGGAGGGACCCCTGAGGGCTGCAGAGAGAGAAAAGTACTTAAGAGGCAGGTCTTGAGCTAGATTTTAAAACTTGAGTAGATCCTTGTTATTCCTAGTGCTGCCCCAGGGTGAGCAGTATCCACAGCTCCTGGGAGCTTATCAAATGGTTTCACTTATTTGTGGAGCATAACAAATAGCATGGAGGACATGGGGAGTTAGGAGAAGGGAGTTGGGGGAAATTGGAAGGGGAGGTGAACAATGAGAGACTATGGACTCTGAAAAACAATCTGAAGGGTTTGAAGAGGTGGGGGGGTGGGAGGTTGGGGGAACCAGGTGGTGGGTATTAGAGAGGGCACGGATTGCATGGAGCACCGGGTGTGGTACAAAAACAATGAATACTGTTATGCTGAAAATAAATTAAAAAAAAAAAGATTAAAAAAAAAAGGTAAAAAAAAAAAAATGCAGGCTCTCAGGCCCTACCCCAGATCTGTCTCATCAGAATTGCAAGATCCCCAAGTTATGCGGATGCACATCAAAGGGCAGGAAGTGCTGGTGTTGACCTGAATGATGCGGGGGGGGGGGGGGGGGGGGGG